GACCGTACTTTGACTCGCTGACCGAATAGAGATAGAAGAACTGAATTGGCCTGACAGACCCAACCCGTGCAAAAAGGAACCTAAAGTGTTGTTTACAAAACGTGTAAAAGCCTGTTAGATAGGGAAAGAAAGCAAAAACATAAGAAGAGCATGCAATATAGAAGACATAAATGGATAAATGGCAAAATGGAAACATGAGTGGAACGAACACATTAGTAGAATCGAAGAAGATAGGATAGTACGAGTAGCATAAGATATGTCACTAAATGACAAAGAAGTATTGGCAGACCAAGAAAAAGATGGTGCGATAAGTTAAATAATTTAGGAGGATAATATTAAAGAAGAAACAGATTTTAAAGCCTACGTACAAGAAGGAAGAAAAAGAAATGTTGTTGATGTCCTTAATTATATAAACAAAAAGTTTTTATATTATTTTGGACATGTTACTGATATAAATGAAGGAAAAAATCAGATGGTATTTATGGAATTTGGTTGAATCAAGCATGGTGATGAATCAAGCTTTTCTGCAAGTTTATGGTTTGCTCTATTTAGTTGGGCTTTAATTTTAAAAAAATATAAATCATACTGCAGCCTATCTCAGAAATGGGATACACATTGAAAGCATGGATACTAAGAAGAGTAGCTTTTATACCTAAACCTGGCAAAATCCGATCGTTCTAACTTCCAACATATGATAATTTTGATATCGTTCGTTCTAATAAAGACTGTAGAAAAACTATTTAATATGCATGTTAGGGATAGTATATTGATCAAAAGTTCGGTACATAAGGGGCAGTAATCGTATCGAGTAGAATGCTCTACAGAAAACAACACTGCACCATCTCGTTCAGAGGGTGGAGTACATTTTGAAACACAAAGAGATGATGTTGGGTACATTTCTTGATATAGAGTGAGCATTCTCTCTTATTACAAAACCTTTTATCGCAAGGGATACGGTAGACTATATGCTGAGAAGACGTGTGATATATACAACCTTGTTGGCGATACAGTGTCAATACAGACAACCAAAGGGTATTCGCAGAGGAGAGTTTTATGTGCTCATTGATGAGCTAATAACTAGACTGAATAAAGACAGGCAGCATATAGTTATCATAACCCACAGCATATTTATTATTACTATCATAAATAGAATGCAGCAGGCTCTGACTATAATTACAGAAGGGACTTCAAAAGTTAGACTTAACATAATCTTCCAGAACTCCAAAATCATTAAATTTGTCAAAAGAAGGAAAAAGGAAATCGGTCTTCTAAGCTTAAATGGTGCAAATCTATATCTAGTAAGTAAGATAAAGTATCTTGGGGTCATATTAGACTTAAGGCTTACTTGGAATCATCAAATAGAACGAATAACCAAAAGAACAGTAACTACTTTAATAGTAGTCAGACGCATTCATGGGAACTGTGGATTTTAAAACCAGACATGTTATATTGGACTTATAATATAGTGGTAAAACTCAAACTACATATGAATCAGTGGTCTAGTGGTTAAAATGCTATCTTCAAATTAAGTAAGGTGCAAAAACTACCTTGCTTAGGAATCACAGGGGCTATGAGTGGCATACTAACGGCAGCTATGGTGGCCCTACTAGATTTCCTCCTTAAATACAACTATAAGAATTGAGGCGAGGATGGGATAATGTAGACTGTGAAAACGCCTGAGTAAAGCAATTCTTGTATTAAAACTAAATAATATAATAAATAAAATAGATGATGATTTCTGACCATACGGCACCTGATACAAACCTGAAGTACTTACCTACCTACAAGTAGACATTTGCCCATGAGAAGAATAAAATAAAATAAACACTCGACACAAACTGCAGAGTTATACCTGGTAATATATCAGTAAATATTCAGTGGTGGTATAAATTTAAACATTTCTATTCCGATAGGAAAAATATACCTCTGTATTTCAGGCATAGATTTTTGCAATTTTGCAGTGTGCAAGAGAAATTAACATGAGGATTTTAAACTAAATAGATGTTGCCGATAAAATATTGATGTCCGGCTAATTAAAACAGGCGGTCATGAACTCATAAGTAAAACCCATCAATTAATAGAAATTGCCTGGCAACAAGAAATAATGCCGAAAGAATTGTGTGGTAGTATTATTGTACCAATACACAAGAAAGGAAAAAAGGAGTCATGAATGAATTACAGAGAAATCTCACTAATCCACACAACATATAAAATATTGGCTTCGATATTAATAAAAAGATTAGTACCATTACGCCGAAAGAATAGTTGGTGACTACCAGTGTGGTTTCAGGCCTAGCAGATTCGACTATTATCAAATATTTACAATAAGGGAAATGCTTGAAAAGTATTGGGAATATAATCACGACGTGCATCAGATTTTTCTAAAAATAAATGAAGACAAAACAAAATACATGGTCGTCTTAAAAACAAGAACGACGGGCGAATAAGGCAAAAACATTACCATAAATAATCACAAACTTCGAAGTGGTTGAAAGAGATTATAAATATCTAGGAGCAACAAACAATCACAAAATAACAACAAATTAGAGCGAGAAGTTGAAACGAGAATAATGGCAGGAAATAGATCTTTCTTTGCAACTGCAACATCTGATGAAGTCGAAACTTCTGTCACGAGGTGCAAAAGATCCGTATATATAAGACCATAATAAGACCAACAGTCGCGTATGGAAGCGAAAACATGGACAATAACAAAAAGAGAAGTAAATAAATTGCTGGTAATGGGAACGTAAAATTCTTCGAATGATATATGGCCCTTGCAGAGACAGTCGTGACAAATGAATGGAGGGGGCAGATACAATAACGAGCTAGAGATTAGAGAAAATCTAGTCAGATAAATATAAAGGCCAATAGACTCAGATGGGCAGGACAAGTGATACGTCAGTAACGAAAATCGCCTTATTAACAATGTGTTCCTGGAAAAGGCCAGATAGAAAGAAAGGTCTGTAGGGCGGCCTAGAAAAAGGTTGGAAAGATGCAGTCAGAGAAGATCTAGAGAAGAGGGGATGTGCGACAATGGGAATTACTGGCACAGGGTCGACAAACATGGAAGGCAGTAGTAAACGCGGCAAAGACACACGAAGAGTTGTAGCGCCATTGGATGATGGATGATGATGATGATGATGATTGATGATCGATGATGATGATGATGATGATGCTGAATGATGATGTGATGATGATGATTGATGATGATGATGATGATGATGATGATGATGGATGATGATGATGAGATGATGATGATGATGATGATGATGATGATGGATGATGATGATGATGATGATGATGATGATGATGATGATGATATGATGATGATGATGATGATGATGATGATGATTGTATGAATGATGATGATGATGATGATGATGATGATGAATGATGATGATGATGATGATGATGATGATGATGATGATGATGATGATGATGATGATGATGATGATGATGATGATGATGATGATGATGATGATGATGATGATGATGATGATGATGATGATGATGATGATGATGATGATGATGATTGATGAAGATGATGTTGATGATGATGATGATGATGATGATGATGATGATGATTTTAAACTGAAGTGGACCAATATATGCTAAATAGACAGTAAGCAGCTCATAAGCTCAAAGGAGTAGTGTAAGATGCCGACACGAACTCGGCAGACTTGCGGAACATAACAGTAATACACTAGTATGGGTTCCAGGTCACCAGAAAATATATGACAATAAAAGAGCTAATATACTTGCTAGGAGAGGATCAGCTAAAAAATAATTCGGAATAGAGCTAACTAGGCTGAAGCACTGCAGAAAACAATTAGGAATTAGCTTCATGTCAGGAGTCATAACAGGCTTGCTTACTAAATTTGCACTAGTTAAGGGACACCTGCATATAATGGGACTGTTTCATTAAGACTTGAGCTGCAGACTCTGTAGCAGAGAACCCGAAACAGTCAATCATATCTACACGATTGCGAGGGCATATTGGCAAATTGGTAAATACCTTTTGGAGACTACGACATGACTTCAAATGTATATAATACCCCCATTTACTCGACCTATAAAAATTGGCACAGGATTTACAGTACCACCGGTTTATAATAGACGACCTACAGAAAACAAATAAATACAATATTTTCTAGCCAACCGAGACCTGTTGCAAAATGTAATAGGAACAAAAAGGCTTTTCAGAAGATGCTGTGACAACGAATTACTTGTTTACATGCTATTAAGATGATCCATCCCTAATTGATAATTACGTTGTAAGACCTGAATATTGTGGAATACTTGCTTTGCAATTTAACAATTCCAGTTTCATTAATAACATTTAATACAGTAAAGAATATCCCTTTTTTACGTATTACAAATGTGCTTAGCGATTTTAAACTTTCCGGTGACGTTTCAGGTACCAGAAGAGGTGCAGGATTGTAGAATAAATAGTAGGGGTGTAGTTTCTGGGCGAATAATTATTATGTTCCTTACTTCATTACATAAAACAGGCATTCGCAACTCTGAATCAAGAGCACGATATTAGTCAATCGTACTCTTTTGTTAATGATAAATATCGGAGATTTGTAGATTAAGAAGCCACACATCACAGGTTACAAAAATTTTTTGCAAGTAACATTTAGAAGCAATGTGGTTTGACTGTCACCGATTTTTTTTCACCCCGCTCTCTGAGTAATCTTTAAATGGTGCATTTTTTATTATGCCAAATCTCCAAACTACTCAATAAGCAAAAGTGCTTATTGTTTTAAATATTAAAACTATACAAGTTTTTGGAACTCTCCTTCTCTATTGAAAACACAGAATTTTGAAAGAAAATCTATTGCAGAATTCTAAAAGGTTAAATTCTTTCCAAATGACATTTAACATAGACGTAGATTATTCAGTATTAAGTTAACTATAAAGTAAACTTGTTGTTAAAATATCTTAATTTTATTTATTTTAATTGCATTCTTCATTCTATAGCATATTCTCTTTTTCAGATTTCTGTAAACCAAACAATGTCGCAGACTTCATAGGAGACTTTTATAACAAGGAAACCATTCCAGCACCTCTTAGAATTAGAAATATGGCAAAGAACTCCAAATTATTTGCAGATACATTTAATTGTAAAGATAATTTCGAAAGGAAACAATTTCCTTTTTTAAAACAAGTTAATCCTTAAAATCTGTAGTTTTTATTAAAGAAACAATATTCCTTTACATTTTAAACGCCGGATGATCAGACTTTTTTGTTTTATTGGTTGCTGGATTTCTTATGAATCATCATCATTATCATCACTGCTGAACATAGGCCTTTCACATGTTTTTCCACCTGTTTTTCCATGTCATCTGTCTAATTCGTTGGGGGGTCGAACCATACAATGTTCTCGTTGGCTTGTATGTGTGGGTCTCGCTTCCACAAATATCTTGCTTTGTCCAGTCGGTCAGGTTAACTGGATCTTGCTACACTGAATTAAAATACTTTATCGTTTTCTTTATTGAATTGGAATCGCATTGATTTGTGCACATTGGAATCTTAGAGACCTAATCAAATATCACTTCATCTTTCCAAATGTCAGCGCCCAAATAAAGTGAGTGTTTATTCATCTTATCAGTTTCGATTAGTCTTGGCTTGATCACGACATAATCTCGTTTCAGTCGCACTTCTTATCTGTCTACTGTGATATGCTTAATCTTTACCCAATAACCTTCCAGCAGTAAGTATAGTATAAAAAGATAATGTAAAAAAGTATTTGTGTTCCGTGGACACGTGACGTGACTGTGTTGTATAATAGATAATATATGTATTGCCGTGTAAAAGTGTCAGAAGAAATAAGCTTAATTGAATTTTTTTTATCAAGTTTGAACATTTATTTCAGTTTAAAACTGCACTAAGTTTAAATGATGAACAAGGTGTGATGATTAGAACCTTATGTGGCTAGGACAGTAGGTTAAAAAGGACCAAATTTTAGATCTTTCTTCTTGTAGTTCCTTCTCCTAGCACGTGAGGTTGGCTCACTCTATCACAGCATAATCGCGTACACTTAAGGGCGGGCTGCATCTAGAAAAGATCTACTCAGGTGCAAGCTGTATAGCACTCTCTCTATAGGTTTCACTCAGCCAGGAAATTACTTCGCTCTCCCTATTCATCTTTTTTATGTCAGCCATTCTTAACACATTCTGCAATTTGTAACAATCCTTGGGTCCCCATGGTATTTTCAAAATCCTTCTACACGCAACCACATCTCAAATGATTCCATGCTTTTTCAATAAGCGATCCCCACTTTTAGTGTTCTAGCTTTCCATTCCATATACAACAAAGTCGAGAAAATTTTAGAGATACCTGACGTCGCAAACATAAATAAGGTAAGATCTGAATGGTGATAATGAATCAGTAAATGAATTAACCACTAGTGTGAATCAGAGCGGGGACGCAGGAAGTCCACAAAGCTGCTACTCAACAATGAGCAAATCAACGCGGTTTTGACCCCAAAGTGTGGCCTATATTTTTTGCAATTTCAAACGCACATTGCCAAAAAAGGGTAACTAATACTATATTCTTGGACACTTAAGGTACTGTGTCCAAGTTATTAGGACATTCGCGATATATGACAACTCAATCGAACATCAATTAAACACATATTTAAGAAAAATTAATTAATTATGATTAATTATGTTCATTGTTATAAAACAAAAACGAAAATCAATTATCAATAAAATAAATACAAATGTGTCTCATGATTTGCAAATAATAATCTGACTAAGTGCACAGCAAGATATGCAAAATATGAAACAGTTAAACATAAATTGACTGTGCATAGACAACCTGGTCCGATGGGCCTTGTGGGTAACATTAGTAACACACTAAAAGTATATTTCTGGTCTCTAAACATTTATGCGCCACGGTTGCACCGTCATGTTCTAAAGTTCCAGCTGAAATCGTAAGCACAGCTTAAACGGAAAATTCAGTTATGCACCGACCCAGATTAGACGTGTTTGACCGTCTTAACATGTCAAGTCTCGCCGAATTCCCGTGACTTAAGACGTGCTTACGGAGATCGCAAGCTGGGTAATAGTAACGCATCGAAGACTTTGCTAATATCTGTGACTGCGCACAGTCAATTAAATGTGCTCACAGAGGCGCTCAGAAAGTTGTAATCTACGTTTTTATGTGTATGAATGGGATAATAATAATATGCAGATGTCGATTATGTTAATTTAATAGAATTGTAGTAGACGATGAATATCTTATGTATCCTCAGCATTTCCCCGACAATCCACGTCACAACCTTATAATCGGGAGAATCCTCATTCATCATCAGATTATTGTCGCAAGACAGAATATTTTGTGTTAGGTTCTCGCTTTATCACAAAAGAAAGTGGTTTTAGGTGGTTTTGGGAAAATCGAGGGGCCAACTAGAATAATATTCATAAATTGTAGAGTATTTTTTTAATGTGGCTTTTCAGAAATAATTTCATTGTTAGTTTCGTTAAAAAAGTTTGTAAAATGAATTTAATGTTCTTTTAGAAATAACTTCCAATAAGTCCCTATTAACCCAACTGGTCTACTGACTTTTAAGTCCTTTATGCAACTGGAGGACATTTGAAATACTATTGGGGATTTTTATAAGAAGCACAGTTAAAAATCTACAATTTTCATAGAATGTGTTCGCAATATAGTAACATGTTAGCCTATTGCCTCCCTCGCACGCTGGATTTATATTAAATAATGCCAGAGAATCGAGGAGACAAAGAATAGCTCAAAGACACAAAATGACTATTTTTGATATTTGTGGATTTTCCTCGAGTCGTTGGGATGCAAGTCGATGGTGCGCAAGTTCGAATTATGTATAATCGCAAGGTAACCTGAACTCATTATGTTTAACAAAAAGTCGAAATTAGTGTATTCAATCATGTGATATGTGGAATCGAAATTGTCCACTGATTATTTCCTAATCAAACTCTTAGCAAATTTAAATTATCTTTCCTCCATATCATTTAAGGAGGAGTGGTATGGGGAAGTATTTAGGCAATAGAAAACCATACACTTTTCTGTACAACATTCAGGCGGTAGCCAGTGCTCAATATTTTTTATTTCAAGAATATAGTAAGCACACACTGGCACCTGGTTCTACCATGATGATGCTACCATGTTTCCACTCAATAGTAGATTACAGCACTGATTTGAAGAATCAGAAGATTGTTTGGTAACAGCATATTCTACCAGGTAATGTTAAAGGCCAATTGTTGTGAATAAAACTTACATAGCTTATTTAGAATCATGTTTTAATTTTAGGTGATAGTGGATATATTGCACATTAACAAGTTATCTTATACTACACACCATTCTTTTAATCACTACCAAAACACGTGAGAGAAAGACTAATACAACTACCAATATGGAAACAGGAAGAGTAAAGGTAGAAAATGAAGAGTAAAAAGGTAAAAAAAAGCTAGAGACACAGGTATTTGGTGTCCGGGAAGAGCAAGATTTCCCGTGTTTTAGACTGTTATGGTAGTCGTCTCACATATCTGGGAAACAACCATTACAAGTAATTGAACAGCACAGCAGTGCCTACATTAATTATTAGCTCACTTACGTGGAGAAATCAGAAATACCTCGACAACCTATTGAAACCATGCTATGGAACTATGAATTTGCAGTCTAATTAATTAGAGATGGTGGTGAAATACCAACTTAATTGTTCCAAAGAGAGCTGTCCCAAACGTGAGAGGGACTAGCTAAGGTTGAGCTTCGTATGAAAATTATTTGTTAATAGATTTTAAGAGAATATTTCTCCCTCTATGACAAGGAACATGATATAAAAACAATAAGCACATGTTACAAGAGGGACAATATGTGTAATTTTAAAATATATAAGATGATTTGCCTGTTAAACATTGAAAACTATAAAAGTAAATAAAAACTACACATTTGATGTAATATACATAGAATTTATTTTCATGGTGATAATACTAGTTATATATTTTCTTTTTCTGCACTTTTCTTTTACTACATTTGTATACATGCTGCTGCGCTTATGTTGATAGTGTGTCTCCATCGTATATAGGATTTCCATCTTTCTCCAATTTTCTGCATTAGTGAGATGCGTTTTTCAAATTCAAGGAGATTGGCAACGTTGTGCAGCTTCTATTTGGAGATTTTTTTACAATATGGCCGCCATCTGTCGTGCCCCCTGTTAACTTTTCCTCTCCCAGTTAGGCTCCTGACATACTAGGGGCTGGGCTATTTTTTGTACTGAATTACATCCTCCATTGTTTCAGCATCCCTTAATAATTATTAATAACAAACCTTGCGAATGTAAACATTTTGTCAGAGTCACACACGCGGTTTCTGTAAACCACACAGACGGTTGCTGGTAAAAAAGATGAATAAACGATAGTTTAATGATTGACCAATAAACATGCTGCGAACAAATTGTGGCTTGGTGCCTCCTCAGCGAGTAATCAGACATTTGTTGTCCTTTCCTTGGGACCTATGCTTCTTAAATGCCTGCGTTTTACTGTTTGACCACTGCTTCCGCAGGGAATTTTTAGCATGCCCTAGCTGGAATATCAAGAGGTACCGCATCTAAAATATATATATGTTGTAATTAACATTTTTCTAATACAATACAAGTTACATATAAATTACCTCAAATCAATTCAAAAAAAAAAAAACTTATGAACCACTATTTTTTTTATTAAATCATTCCATTACCTATTGCATTAACAGCCTTCGCAATTTCCTCCCATGCACTCAATCCTTTTCCTTGTTTGAGATAGCAGTTCCGTCGCCTCTGTATTCTCAATTTGTTTCTTTTTGTCCTTCAGCACCACGCTCCACTAACAACATTCTTTTCATACTTTCGTGTAAATTTACTTTTTTCCTGTGATGCGTAATCTCATTTTCGACAAACCCACCACAAAATTAACAACAAGCACAATTTTTTTCAAAACACAACACAGTGAGAACGTGGAGCAAATATTTCACGTGTTAGTCATCTACTGACTGTGCACTTTACACACCAATGATTATTGTTTTTAACTCACAATGAAATATTTTTGTCACCAATCCAAACCGTAGGCTACAGTACCGCACGCAAAAGGCCCAGACCCCGAGGAGAAGACAAAACCAGCTGTCCACGCGATGTTGCAAACATCTACTACAAGCATCAAACTT